ATGGAACCAATGCCTGGGTCTTCAATTGGCTGGCTGATAAAGAGGCATGCGCAGGGCAGTTCAGTCAGAACACGGGAGAGTTCATCCTAGCATATGGAAACTTTTCCAAGTGAGCAGAAAGTTAGGGAGGAGACGAAAAAAGGAAATGATAAATCCTTGATTCCTTCCGGAACGCAGTCAGGTTCAAATTTGTATTCTCACTACGACATTCTAGGGCATTTCCGGCCCATTTCCACCACTGGTTCTAGGACCTTTGCTATTTTCCCTCTTTATCTCACCTCTGGAAGCTATAATATTTTAATTTAACTTTCCCCATCGATTGTTTGCCAACGACACACAGATTTTATTTTACTTTCCTCCCACATTTCCGACTGCTTAGCCACTGTGCAATACTGTATGTCATGCCACTACCTCTCAATTCTTCCAAAACGAGAATTGTTTTCTTCCCTACTCCCTGCTCGCCTCCACTCTGTCCTATCATCTCATTAACCCTCTCCTCTACCCGCAACCTCGAGTTCATCTTTAACTCATCCCTCTCTAACCACATATCTGTCACTGTCCATAATTGCCGATTTCACATATTCAGTATTCGCAAAATCCGTCCCCTCATCTGCTGCTAAACTCCTAATTCACTCCTCACCTTGACTGTTCCAACTCTTCTTCTCGGCCTTCCTGCCTACACCTTCAACAACAGGTAAAACATATCTCAGTCTGGATCATTTTTACCTCCCCCATAATTCCCACTCTTCTGCTCCACTCGTCCCATCTCCACTGGCTCCCTGTCTCACTCTAATGTATACATCTCTCAATGGCCTTGCACCACCTTATCTTGCTTCTGATATCTTAGTATGTCCCATCCCGTCATCTACGCTCCCAATCTCTACTCTCTGTGCCTCCCTCGCCCTGAGCCCAGTCACACTCTCGATCCTTTTCCTTTCTTGCTCCCCTTCACTGGAATAATTTCCCACTGCACATAAAACAGTCATCTTTACTTACCTAGTTCCATCCCCCCTTAAAACAACCCCTATCTCTTCTACTTTACCCATTTTACTCTTACTCCCTGCACCCCAGCTATGAGTAGGCCTACCATTACCCCTATCACTATCCCTACCCCAACCCCTCCTTAACCGCTCCCACCTCTCCTCCTGTCACCATAACTACACCGCCACATTTAATAACCCCACTCTTTATTTTAACCACCATTATCTTATACAGAATGATTTTTTCTATTGTTGTAAAGCACATTGGGTTAAGGTGCTATATAAATCTAGATAACATAAAAACAACCGAACAGACGAAAATCCACACTGATGCAGACGGTGCCATCAAAACATGTGGATAAAGAGGAAAAGGCATTTTCCATTATTTAAAAAAGCGACGCTAACGTTCACTCACGCGAACTAAAATCCCTTCCGCGGCTTTCAGAAAGTTGCTTTTCTCGTTCTCTGGAATCTGAAGCAAACACAACCGTGAGACCCCTAGAGTACGCTGTGAATTTTAATCATAACATGGACGAGACAAATAGCACAAACTTTACAATGCACACGATCATATTTGTAGACATGACGTCTGCACAGATGGCAGACTACTAACGAGAAAGTGAAAAAACAAGACACAGTTGTCTTTAGGAGACATGACAACGCTGAAATAGTTGATGCAAGCACTGTTAGTGAGCACCGATTGTGGCTGGCATGGCGCATCAGGCGGTGGTGTGGTTGCTGATTTGTCTCCCCAATGCAGATGTTTTAGACACCACACCAGAGACGAATCTAAGACTGAGTTAATCTAGGGGAAACCCATCACCTGTGTAGATTTCACCCGCCACTGATGTTAGCCATGACCATGACGGTAATACCAAACGCAGTTAAAATAACACATCACATAAAGTCTTCTAAAGCTAACCAAATACTACACAAAGCTAGCAAATTATTATTAATAGAGAATACAGCACAATAGGAGTGAATTATCTTACATTTCGGAATCGCTAATGCAGTTACACTTAGATATAAGCAATAGTGTATCTATGCATTATTGGAATATAATCGATAACATAACACAATAATCGGCTGATAATGTGTTTAAACTAACACAAACTAACCAAATTAATACATTTTCTAGACTACATAATAAACAAATCCCTACTGAAAACCAAAATTTTAAAACAAAACCGTACTGAACTTGACTAACACTGTATTAACCGGTGACATGGTCTCTATCCTTTCTAAAGGCCTTAACTTTGCCGTTACTCCACGCACAATTCCAGTGGATGAGATAATTGCTGAGGTAGAATCAGCAGTTAGACTCCTTCCACATAATGAGGCAGAGATGACTAGACATGAGGTTGCTAAAATAATTGAGAATAGCAAAGTTCCAAAAGTAAATATTAGCTCTAACGAGGCAAAAGCCTTAAGAGAGCTGCGTGTAAACAAGGATATCCAAATCCTAGCAGCTGATAAAGGCCGCACTACTGTAGTGATGTCACGAGCCGATTATGATAATAAAATTAGAAATTTACTAGAGGAAAGTACCTACATTAAAATTAAACGAGATCCAACTAATACTTTAGAACGTATGACCACTGCAATAATTGCAAATTCATTAATCCCTAAAAATGAGCAATACCAAATTAAGCCAAGGGCCTCAAAACCACCTAGACTCTATGGGCTACCAAAGATTCATAAAATCGGCATCCCATTACGACCCATAGTCAGTACAATTGGCTCTGCCACATATCAATTAGCAAAATATATAACCAAACAAATACAGCCCTACATCGGTAGGACATCTTCATTCATAAAAAATTCAGAACATCTTGTGAATGTGATTAAATATATTAAACGTACTACTGATGATATTCTGGTAAGTTTTGATGTGATTTCTCTATTTACTAAGGTTCCAGTGGACGAATCGCTTAAATTACTTGATACACTAGTAAAGAATACCGGTTTACCAAAAGATATTCCGAAACTTGCTGGCCATTGTTTAAATAACACTTACTTCTTATGGAGAGGGGATTTCTTTAAACAAAAGGAAGGAGCAGCAATGGGTTCTCCTTTATCCCCTGCTATAGCAAATTTGTACATGGAAAACTTTGAAATAAGAGCACTTGCCTCGAGCACATTAAAACCATCCTTTTGATTTAGATATGTGGATGACACTGTGGTTGTCTGGCCACATGGTAAAGATACACTTAATGATTTTCTAAATCATCTCAATGCACAAAACCCGGCCATCCAGTTCACCATGGAAATGTAGGTGAATAACACACTCCCATTCCTAGATATTTTGCTTGGACATGGCCTAAACGGTAAAATAACACACAGCGTTTACAGAATGCAAACGCACACTGATGCCTATCTGAATGCAGAATCACATCATCATCCAGCTCAGAAATCCTCTCTTATCAAGACGCTCATACATCGGGCTAAAACAGTATCAGATGTTGAGAGTTTAGTGAGAGAGATTAAACACGTTAAAGACGCACTACGACAGAATGGCTACAATAATGCTCAAATTAACAGAGCACTGAATGCCAAATCACGATCGCAAAGCAATACTGCTGAAAGCGACCAGATTGTCAAAACAATAAAAATTCCATATATCTCAGGAGTAACTGACAAATTAGCCCGTGTTTTGCAAAAGCAAAACATTACAGTAAGATTTGGTACAGTACACAAAATTCAAAAACTAGTATCTTGCACTAAAGACGCATTACCTAAATTATCAACAGAAGGTGTATATCGGATTAATTGTTTATGTGGCAGCTGCTACATTGGACAGACGGGACGTAGCATCAGCGTAAGACTAAAAGAACATCAGAGAAATATTAAATTATCTCAAACACAACTGTCGGCAGTGGCAGAACATGCTTGTCAACAAGGACACTCAATTGATTTTGACAATGTTGCAGTGGTGTGTAAAACTAATTATTACTGGCAAAGACTAATTAGAGAATCCATTGAAATTGAGAGGAACAAGAATAACTTTAATCGCTCTGACAGCTACAGGCTTAGTGCGGCCTGGAAGCGTATTATTAAATAATACACATTACATTTTGATTTAAAGAATTACTAATCTACAACTCATTACTAATCATAACCAATGACTGATTACTAATCGATTAAATAATTACAATACCCCCCCCCCCTCCGCCTCTAATCACTGCACCTGATATGAGTTAAGCGATGACGTCACCCTGCTGCTCTATATAAAACCGGGAGCAAGCGAGGGCTTTACCATTCTGGCGAATTGCCCGATGATGCTGGATGTATTTACCAGCGAAACGTCGTACTCAAACTGTAAATGTGGATTCACTCTTCAACACACCGGTGGGCTAAAGTAGTGAATTATTTGTCTTTTGTCAACGTGACACTTTCTTTTTTGCTGATTGGCCGTGTCGGGTGGTGGAGGGTTACGACACATTTATAAATAAACGCGATCTAACCCAAAAACCTTTATTATGAATATGATGAGGTGGTTTGGGTTCTCCTGTCAGTAGAACTCGTGTGTGGGACCCCTGGATATAATGCTGTCCCGATGGGTAGAGAGGCAATGGTGTAGGTAACGAAGTGGGTATACAGCTGGGTGCATCCACCAGTCATCTCAATCAGCCAACTCATGGCACCTGGGTCTGTCCCGAGACCTCCTATCAGCGAGCCTTCGACACTTCACGTGGCCTCAAAGTGCACCTGGCCTGGCACAGGCGCCGTGGTGATGTCACTGTCACTTAGTCGTGAATGGCGGCTATTGGTTTTTTGCGCTTTACCGTACTCCCATTGCCAATTAGGTTTTCTTAAAAGTTCTTCAAATGCAGTTCACTTGACATAAGCCTGCCACATGCATTTTTCAACAATTGTAACTTTTACAATATATAACACTTATAACGCGCTTGCTGTGAGTTATTACCCGATCATATTTAAGTAATTAGCAGTGAATCACAAGGCCATATAACCAACCACTTTGCCATCCAAACACTCCCGTAAAACATTTTGCAAAGCATAATTGAAGGGTCATTCGCTTTTTTTATTGAGAACTTTGATGGCAATACCTTTATTTAATAACCATTTTGTCAGTAAATAAAATATATGCAACAAAAAAACACGAACCACGATAATCACGATGGGACTATACTTTCTAAAACGGATGGAACGATAAATCGTGGACCCTATGTCATACGATATATCGTACTATCATTCTAGTGTCCACTCATTCACGTGGGTGCCAGTTGCTGGGTGGGAGAATTGTTGGGGAACAGTAAGGCCCACTGAGCTCTTTCTCAGAAGTGACCTGGCCACAAATGACAGCTCAACAAATTGGCTTATCGCGTGGACATTTTTTTTTTATAGCAGCCAAATACTCTCAACGCATGTTTCTAAATTTGGAGGGAAAAACAGGGGAGAACATGCAAACTCCAAATATGCAGCAGGCGTCAGGGTCGGGATCGGACCCACGACCTCCTGTATACCAGGCGAGGCAGTTAACATCTCGCTGCCGTGTCATGAGGAGGTGAGAGCCAAGTCCCTGCTCAGTTGTCCCCGCGGCTGTTGCCCTTGCTCTGCTGCTGGCCACCATGCCCAGAGAGGTCCCTGCCCATGGGCAGCAACTTCATGGTGGTCATCTTGAGCGAATACCAGCGGTCGTGCCACGTGGCCCAGATGATGCCATCATCATATGGGAATTCCACATCGGTCTTGCGGTAGTTTCCACCTGGCAGGGTGGGGCATTGTCATCACCATCAATTATCATCATCATCATATTGTCATCGCTATTAACCGTCATCATGAATCGTCCCAATTGAAACCAAAATTACCATCGTCATCGCCATACCATAATCGTTATCGTTGCTATTGTTATGAACACCGTCATTGATTATTCCTATTGTAACTATCATTATCATCGCTATCATAGCCATGTCATCAATAATCGCTATTATAATGACCACCATTGCTATTGTCATCACCATCGTCGTGATCTCGATTATGCCCACCATCATCACTATCATAATCATCTCTTGTAGCCACGATCAGCATCATCATAATCATAACATGGCAATGGTAATATCCCGGGACAGCCCACTGCCGTATGAAGGACTTTTCTGACGCTGAACATGAAGGGTTAGTGGAGGTGGAGAGTACTTTAGCATACAACGGATTTTTCTACACCGACCTCTGCTGTCCACAACATGGACCCACAGAAGCGTATGCAAGCAAACAAAATCAACTATTAAATTGAATGTCGTACATCGTGCATTGCATATCCTTCTCTCTCAGGACTGAAGCATTGGTGGATATGTGAACATAAATTTCAAAAATGACAGTTGCAGCATGCACAGCGTCCACTGGGTGCGGGCGGTTAATTTGTTAAGGCGGACACGTGACGGTCGCATACGTGACGTACTGCAACACAATCTACAAAAAACTGAACTACGTTTATTGTTGTGCATGCAGTTCGATCCGTGTTACGTGTCGTGCGCCTGAAGAACCACTGATTTTCACCGACGCTGCGACGCATTTGACACTCCCCTTACTACGAGCGGAAGAGGTTACAATGCCCTCCGCAATAACCGCTCGGTTGTTATGAAAACTGCCCGGGAACCGACCTTCCCTCGGGCCGTGCACATCGCCGAACTCCCAAAGTAAACTCCCTCTGTTGGTTTCTTGTTCAAATTACGAGAGACCGTCGATTAATTATCCGGGTGGCTTCGGTAAGGGAGGGGAAGGGGGCTCCGGATTTTCGAAAACGCCGGGATAATCACTGCATCATTATTTAAAATAGCAGCTTTTTTTGCACATGCTTGTATAACACTACGTGTTTAGGTGTAGTGCGTATGTTTTTTTTATTTAGTGGTTTAAATGTGTTTACTCTATGAAATTGCCATAAATAAACATATAGACAAAAATATATATATCCTACTCTAAAAAGTTACTGCATTTACTGAACCATACTTACAACTCCAATCTTGAAGACTCTGTATGGGGTGATGTACATGGTACTACGGGCTCTTGTTTCAACAATTTGTGTTTGAAAATCGCCAGAATGATGCACCCTTTAGACCGGTGCTCTGGCGATTACCGAATTACAAAGCGATTTTCGCCGGATCGCAATGTGTATTTTCTGTTTTTATTACTGTGTTTATCAGCCGTGAAAAATCTATATAGTGCAGTATTTCCATCCATCTTCCCTAGTCCACATCTCTCCTTTCCCCTCGTCATCGCCCCATCCTCATCATACCGAAGTAGTATTTTCCGTTGAGGTGCCCCGCGTGGCACCGGTTCATCCACCATCCCGAGCCGTCCTGCTCGGCGCACGAGCCCTCGTACTTGTCGTTGTCGCGTTCCGGCGTAGAGAACAGCATGCCCAGGTGCGTCGTGTAGAACTTATCCTGCGTGACGCCGAGTGGACACAGCGACAACAATTTTGAGAGCCGGGATGTGGATGCCACGGTGGAGAGACGTTGACCACCTCGCCTGGTATGCAGGAGGTCGTGGGTTCGATCCCAACCCTGATGCCTGCTGTATATTTGGAGCTTGCATGTTCTCCCCTTGGTCGCGTGGATTTTTCTCCGGGGATTTCCCCTCCACATATAGAAACATGCATTTCGAGTATTTGGCTGCTATGAATTTCAACGTGATAAGCCACTTCGTTGAGCTATCATTTGTGACAGCCAGGCCGCTTCTGAAAAAATCTATATAGCCCAGTGGGCCTTACCTGGTAAAATAAAAAAAATAGTTTAAATAGTTTCATAGATTCGTTGATCGAGTCGATTAATGGACTACTTTTATTGCACTTGATTTCCAGGGCCCTTTTAACAATGGTGGCAACCTCTACATCGTAGGTTTTGTGCTGTATTGCTCTGCAATGCGTGTCGGTCGGCGTGACGGCCGACGTTTCACTCCGCATTGCTCGGAGCTTCTACAGGAAGTGTGGGTGCCTCCTACCTCTTCCAAGACGTCTGACCAAGACGTCTGAAGAGGAGACCATGTACCCTCTAAGAGGGCCTCTCTAGAGCTCCCTCTGGTGGAGGCTCTTCCGCCAGCCGTCACGTGAGCGAACAACTGTAGGGCTGCATCCCTTTACATACGGCACAAGCGGCAATCATTCGGATAAAGAAACACAAGGGGAAATTGAAACCGCCGTGCCTCACCTGCGGGTCATCGCCAAAGTCGAATCCATCAAAGGCGTTGCCGGCATCACCGTCAAGGTACATGGAGTAGAAGAGGCGGTACTCGTCAGACTCCGGCGTCAACTTGAAGTGTCCATAGTCCGCGTACCTGCATACAGGTCGTCATTATCATCTGCCATGGTCAATCCACTGCTAGATGAAGACCTCCCCTGCAAAACCTCAATCATATCCTGTAATCCCACGAAGCAACGATGCACCCAGAACCTGCACAAGAGTTGATTCATCACTCGATCTCCTCGGTGGACGTTTACAATATAAAACGAAATAATTTACAGCCCTTTATCAATCTACTGCTGGATGAATCTATTTCCATGTCATGTCGATCATGGAAGTTGTTAGACAAAGGTTCACCACGCTGATCAGTGTGCAATGAATTAAAGAACAAACACAAGTGAACATTAGCAGAAGACGTCACTGCAAGGGATGAAGGCTGACATTCAAGACTTAACAATGGAGTGGCAACCCAATAAGATAATGAGCCTGAGATGATGGAGTCTTCCACTGAGATGATGTAATGGGATCAACTTGGGTTCTAGATGAATTAATGAATCGCAAGCCTGTGATAGCATGGACTTACGTTGAGTTAATGATCCACTTTCATAGAGATGTATTCATTAAAACTACAACTGTTTAGTTTCATAGAAATCGAAAGACTCCTTTTAAAGAAATACGACAAACATGAAGTGATGAGTATTTTCAATGTTTTTTTTGTTTGTTATTTTTATTTTCTTTCTACGTGACTTTACCGAAAGAACCAAAAAATATGAAATCCTGCAGTCACGAAAGTGAAAATCAATGAAGTGATGAGCTCAGCTTGCGTGCAGGACCGAGATCAGAGGTCGGCAAACCTGCGGCTTCGGAGTCACATTCGGCTCTTGACGGAACTGCTTCATGACGCGATGTAGAGGTGTGTGTAGTCACATGCATTACGGCTCTTGAAATATCGCGTTTTGCACTGTTGTTGCATCACGAGATTATAAAAGATGGGGAAGGCCTTAATCAAACAGTGAATAGCTCATAGCCGAGGATGACGACGACAACAATGACGAAGAAGGAGAAGAAATTAAATGGTACGCTTTGTCCAAACCTGCCCCCCTCTTCGTAGCCAAGCGGCTGGGCCCCAGTGCAGTTGCACCGCCTGCACACCTGATCACTACACGAGTGTGCCCAGGTAATTTTACCCAGGTGAACTCGCCTCTCACCTGTGCGTGTTCTCCCAGTCGGTGAGGTCGATGCGCAGGCGGTAGGCCTGCTGCCCGGTCAGCAGGTGGATCTTCTCGTTTCCGAGCCAGAACTCAGTGGTGAGCGTCGGCGCCAGGTACCCGAAGCCCTCGCGGTACGACACCCAGTCGCGCGTAAAGTTCACGCTGCCATCGTGACGCTGGTTTGGCAAAAAACGAGAAGGCACGCGCATGAGCGTGCGTGCATGCGTTTACGAATGTATACAAGTGCGTAACCGTTATCAAGATTGGCTTCTGTGGAGGAGGCTCGTTACAATTGAATGCAGTCACCCTCCAACTATAACGGAGGGCAGAGGAGTGATGCTCACAAAAGTGAGTAAGAGTGGCGGGCAGCTAGAAGAACATCAATGCCAATCACACAGCATGTTGGCAGAGTTAGGAGGACAGGTACGCATTTGCCAGTTATCAACCCATGACACCTAGGTTTGTCCTGTGACCTGACAGTTAGCTTTTAACATTTCACATGACATTAAAATAGATTAAAATGGATCTAAGCTCGGTGGTCACCACCACTGAGCGGTGAATGACAGCTGCTGTTGTTTATGTTTGTGTGTGTGATGGGCAAATAAAGGCCATCATCATCATTACTCTCCTCCACGTGCCCCCATGAGTTCCCGCACGTACATGCTGGATGACGGTCCAGCCATTGCCATTCTCGATTTCGCAGAAGACCAGGAAAGGCTGCTTGGCCTTGAGGGGTTTGATGTAGTAGAGTCCGCTGTCCTTGCCCCCGTTATCCACCACTTGTTGGCAGTCTGGGGAGCGCCACGGGATACACAGGGAGACAAGAGGATGAGGCACGACAAACACGGAACACGCCGGACGCAAGTGGGTGGATGATAAGAGGCGCGTTGGTCATAACAGGATTGGACAAAGAAAAAAAAAACACAACACGAGGGAAAGGATCAAATTTGACAGGGAGGACACGCGATTTAGGAACACGTGGTACATAGAAAACATGCGACACAGGTGCAGGTGGACAGAAAGACGAGAAATATCCCATGGTGATGGGGTATCTCATGCTGTCTGTGTTGTATATGTACCGTTTTTATTTGAGGATATATCCCCGCGTGCGTGCGTTGTCTGTTTTGCCACGTGTTCTGTAGTGTTTATGGGTGATATTTTGGTGCCTCTGTTACACACATGAGTGAGTGTGTCTGTGTGTGTGTGTGAGCGATACCTTTCCCGGTGATGGGCGATATCTTGTTGGCTGTCGTGTCCTGGCAGGAGCGTGAGCACGTCTGCCGGATGTCAACGAGCTGCTGCTGCAGTCGCGTCACGAACTGCTGGTTCACGCGCCACATCTCTGACAGCTCCCTGCCAAGGGGCACAGCACAAAGATTGAAGAGACAGCCCCGCACATCGCTCTTAGCTTGAACAGTAAACAAATTGATTGAAACTGTCCTTGAGCCATTGTTCCAATAAAATAGTTGATCGGTGCCACCTAGGGTGGCAAATTATTACAATTATATTATGGAAGGATTATATCTCTGGATTCCAAATATGTCAGATAGAAAGGTTTCACTGGCAGTGTTTTTTGAGATGTAATGAAATAACAGTATTAAAGCACCTTTCATGGAGAACATCAGTTTGGAAAATATATTATTTGTAAACTAATCTGACATTGGATATCTACAGAATAATAAAATAACTAGGTAGCGTGTCTATAAAACAGACGGTGCATACACTAAGTTGCCTGCCGATGGTGGATGCTGCCCATGGCGACCACAAGCCAACAGTGGACACTAGCCGTGGTTGATATTCGGAGCATTTGCCACCCCACGTGCTACTAATCAACCCCCTTGGCTCATGGGCTAAAAGTTTGAGTAAATGGCTGACGAAATCTGCAACCACCCTGTATGGGGGAGCTTTGGTTGGGAAAGTCGTACTGGATTTGGGCGTCGTGGCTGACTCCAATCTGCTCCAGGATCCGCACCTCCTCCAGAATTTTCTGCACTGTCTTCTGGCCCGAGTCCTTGATGACTGCACAGATCAACACAACCACCGCCACCACAACCAGTATAAGGCACCACGGCCACCACTACCACAACCGAAGCAGCCACCAAAATTACCACCACAGCACAGCCTCAACCACCACAACCATTGCCACCCCAACCAAAACGACCTCCAAAACCATCACCACAACCACAACAGCCACAATCATCACAACCAAAACCACCATCGCCAGAACCATAGTAACCACAAGAAACAATTGTTAGCAACATTTTGGTCTGTATTTTTAGCAGAGATTCACCATATATACATCTTAAGACTGCTGGGAAAAGCGATGTGCCTCATGGGACCTCCTTTGCCAGTACCAAAATATGATAATAGGTTTTTCCCCTTTTATCTGGCAACAAAACAGGTGTTAAGTTGTTAAAACACCAAACTGAAACCTTTTACAGTTTCAAAGACAATGCATATATTATCAGAGTATGTTTTTGTTTGCATTTTCACAAGTATTGTGGTTAATGCAGACATGATTCCTTGTAAAAGGTTTCAGTTTGGTGTTTAAACAACTTAACACCTGTTTTGTTGCCAGGTAAAAGGGGAAAAACCTATTATAAGCGATGTGCCTATTAGGGCCAGCCAACTTTGTTTCCCTCCTGATGCTGTTCACCAGTCTGAGTTGACCTGCGGGAAGCTCGGGCAATGTTCTGACACCACGTGTTAGCCACGGTTGGGAATGGAACTCAGGCTGGCCACTGAACCCTGGGATTCTCAAATCTGTCCAAAAGTTTGCGTCGCAACTGCCCCCTCCACAATCCTCCATACAACGCGTGCACAACGCCGTTGACAATCCACTGCTGGATGAGGGCTTCCCCAAGCTGTGCAGGTTCTGGGGATTGTTTGACCGCACATCGCCACGCTGGTCAGTGAGGGTCGGTGAAGGAGGAGGGCGGCATAGACGGAGCATATTACAGTTCAACAATGGATTTCGCCACACTGCCTTCTGCTGCCCACCACGTAGCTCTGCAGCAGCCTATAACACCTGTTTTCTGCACGATAGCTCCCATCCAAGCACTGTCCAGGCTCAACCTCTGCTTAGCTTCTGAGATCAGGTGAGATTGGGCATACCGTATGATTTGTGAATAGATAATTGTAAGCATAATGGTTAAAATCAGTGATTATAACAGCATAATCTGATTTTTTTTAAAGCACACTTCGATTATAAGAACCCCTGTGGCCTTACTCCCAAAGTAAAAGGTTACTTGGCCACTGCTGGCGGAAGAGCCTCCGCCAGAGGGAGCTCTAGAAAGCCCCCCTCGAGGATTGTTGTCCTACTCTGTTACGCTGGCCAGTTGTATTGGAAGAAAGGTGGGAGTACCCACGTTTTTACCCCACCACACGCGACTCGCCCAATCGACTGTGTGTGCCCATTTGTACTGCTGGGTGGAGACAGCGCCTTGGGAGGGGGGAGCAACATTTTTAAAACCGACCCTACCACTTCTTTATTTCTGAGTCCAATGGCCGAACCCCGACTAAAAATTCAAATTATTATCAATACTATCACGACGACTGCCATGTTCGGCAACGACTAATTCTGCCACTGCACGTCCCCTCCTTCTGCGAGAGCGCGCGTGCGTGCGCGTGTGTGCGAGTGCCCGCGCGTCCTCCTCCGCCTCCTCCCTCACTCTGCGCCTCGTCGCGCGTGATCCGCACGTCCTCGTTCACGATGTTCACGTTGCCCTCCACGATGCCGTGCTTGGCCGCGAGCTGCGTGAGCACCGAGTCGATGAAACTCGAGTCCTCGTCCACGCCCTTGGCGTACTTCGACAGCACGTCCGCCACGCCACACGTCGTGGGGCAGTAGCGGCCCTGTGGTGGGTGGGTGGGTAGTGTGGGGGGGGGGGGGTGTCACGGTTACGGTGGGGTCAGGAGAGAGTGAAGGAGAGAGACATATGTCAGGCATGATGTTACCAAAGACAAACATCCCCCCCCCCCCACTCTTCGTATAGCCTTAACAGACATGGGTACGTACGTGAGAAATCAACAACAACAACCGCCATTCGCCACTAATTGGCGGTGACGTCACCACGACGCTTGTGCCAGGCTATGTGCACGTTGAGGCCACGTGAAGTGTCGAACGCCCGCTGGCAGGAGGTCACGGGGCAGGCGCAGCAGGTGTCACGGGTCGACTGACTGAGATGACTGGCTGATGCACCACCTGTGCCCCCTACTGTGCCAACTTGCTGTGCTTTAGCCACACGTGAGTAATCACACGCATGGAGACGCACACAGGTACATTCACGTGGACACAAATACATCACCATCAAGAGTTTTTGTTATTTTTTTAGTTGTTCTGATTTCTGTTTGCTTCATTGCTGAACATTATTTGGGGTGTTTCACTTTTGTCATGTTGGTGACTCGAGTCACTCTTGCAAACGAAAAAAATAAACTTGATCATGAACACAATCATGTTGACCACCATAATAATTATCCTCATCATCACTGATATCACCACCTTGATTATAAATATCACAGGTCACGTGAGATGTCACCATCACTATGACCACCATCATCGCAATCATCATCATCACTACCAGGATCATCATTCACGTCATCATCAAGCACCACACGTGGCGCATGCGAAGTGATCATCATTGTACACGTACAGCCCTATTGTCAGTCCACTGCTGAATCGATGTTAATTGATCAATTGACGTGTCGCTACACCACTGATGGTCACCGAATGGGAATGCACGAGGGTGTTTCAAAGAGAAGCAGACTTTTCATATTTCTGCAAACTATGTAACTGTGAATTTGCTAAATGGCATCGTGAATGGGGCATGGCTCCGGCGCTAATGTGCAAGTTTACTGCTCCAGATGTTGACACGAGGTGGCAGGCATTAACGTCATCAAAGATACAGTGAGGGAAAAAAGTATTTGATCCCCTGCTGATTTTGTACGTTTGCCCACTGACAAAGAAATGATCAGTCTATATTTCTAATGGTAAGTTTATTTGAACGGTGAGAGACAGAATAACAACAACAACAAAAATCCAGAAAAACGCATGTAAAAAATGTTATAAATTGAATTTTAATGAGGGAAATAAGTATTTGACCCCTCTGCAAAACATGACTTAGTACTTGGTGGCAAAACCCTTGTTGGCAATCACAGAGGTCAGACGTTTCTTGTAGTTGGCCACCAGGTTTGCACACATCTCAGGAGGGATTTTGTCCCACTCTTTGCAGATCTTCTCCAAGTCATTAAGGTTTCGAGGCTGGCGTTTGACAACTCGAACCTTCAGCTCCTTCCACAGATTTTCTATGGGATTAAGGTCTGGAGACTGGCTAGGCCACTCCAGGACCTTAATGTGCTTCTTCTTGAGCCACTCCTTTGTTGCCTTGGCCGTGTGTTTTGGGTCATTGTCATGCTGGAATACCCATCCACGACCCATTTTCAATGCCCTGGCTGAGGGAAGGAGGTTCTCACCCAAGATTTGATGGTACATGGCCCTGTCCATCGTCTCTTTGATGCGGTGAAGTTGTCCTGTCCCCTTAGCAGAAAAACACCCCCAAAGCATAATGTTTCCACCTCCATGGTTGACGGTGGGGATGGTGTTCTTGGGATCATAGGCAGCATTCCTCCTCCAAATACGGCGAGTTGAGTTGATGCCAAAGAGCTCCATTTTGGTCTCATCTGACCACAGCACTTTCACCCAGTTGTCCTCTGAATCATTCTGATATTCATTGGCAAACTTCAGACGGGCATGTATATGTGCTTTCTTGAGCAGGGGGACCTTGCGGGCACTGCAGGATTTCAGTCCTTCACGGCGTAGTGTGTTACCAATTGTTTTCTTGGTGACTATGGTCCCAGCTGCCTTGAGATAATTGACAAGATCCTCCCGTGTAGTTCTGGGCTGATTCCTCACCGTTCTCATGATCATTGCAACTCCACGAGGTGACATCTCGCATGGAGCCCCAGGCCGAGGGAGATTGACAGTTATTTTGTGTTTCTTCCATTTGCGAATAATCGCACCAACTGTTGTCACCTTCTCACCAAGCTGCTTGGCAATGGTCTTGTAGCCCATTCCAGCCTTGTGTAGGTCTACAATCTTGTCCCTGGCATCCTTGGAGAGCTCTTTGGTCTTGGCCATGGTGGAGAGTTTTGAATCTGATTGATTGATTGCTTCTGTGGACAGGTGTCTTTTATACCTAACAAGCGTAGATTAGGAGCACTCCCTTTAAGAGTGTGCTCCTAAACTCGGCTCGTTACCTGTATAAAAGACACCTGGGAGCCAGAAATATTTCTGATTGAGAGGGGGTCAAATATTTACTTCCCTCATTAAAATGCAAATCAATTCATAACATTTTTGACATAAGTTTTTCTGGATTTTTGTTGTTGTTATTCTGCCTCTCACTGTTCAAATAAACCTACCATTAAAATTATAGACTGATAATTTCTTTGTCAGTGGGCAAACGTACAAAATCAGCAGGGGATCAAATACTTTTTTTCCCTCACCGTAGTATGCACCGTTGCACGACTGCACGTTAAAATAAATATGATCGACTCTTCTTTGCTGTTGCCAGCAGAGGTTGTAGTAGAGACAAGTCAAATTTATCACGGAATGGAGTTGCGATATGGTGGCAACTGTACGAACCGTGGCAGTGTTTGGAAATGGCTGCAGTCAGCATGTGGGCGCGTTTGTGACGACGACAAAAGCCAGTTGATGCTTCAGCCAATATTGATTATCTTGAGAGATTGGTTTTGCGCGACGGACAAGTAAGCACATTTCGGCGAGAATAGTTCAGTAATCCACGTAAAGCTGAATTTCTGAAAAGTGTATGCCCATTTCGTGCCAGAATGTGAATGGCAGGCAGTGAATTAAACGGAATAGGGATATGTCGTGCCCTCTCGGCCAGATTCCTACTCGAAGGCAACATGTTAATGTGTCACTAGAGCCCTTCTGCCCAATCATGGTGTGGATGAATTCTCGTGTGGATGAGAACTGTGTGTTCCGTGAGGAAGCGATGGCCGAGTTGTGCTGCGAGGTGAGGAAACTTACGAATTCGGGATCATTGGAGCACTGCTTGAGGTCCCTGACCTGGCAACGGAGAGAGTGATGGTGAGGAAGAAAACAACGTTAGTCAGTGTGAGTTAGTGGTGGGTAATAGACACATGTAGAGAGAGAGATGGAGGGTGTGTGTGTGTGATATGACAGACATGTGCAGAGAAGAAGAGACCAAGGTGAGGACAGTAGAGACATGCAGAAAAAAACTAAGAGAAGGGAATAACAGAGGTAATAGAAGAGACATGTACAGAGAGACACACGAAAAAATATTCAAAAGGTCAGAGACGTGTACATGCATAGCAAGACAAAGATTCCCCATGTAGCTCAAATACGTTGTTGGTATAAGCGTTGTTTGCGAGTTCATATTAAGGCCAGCACAGCACACAAGTGGATGAAGTTGCCAACATCATGACTGTCTACCTTAGTCTCCCCCAGTGCTGATGTAATACACACTAACAACACCGACTCATTAAAGGCGAAATCGACTCAGGGAAGGCCTGAGACCGGTCCAGATGTTACTTGCCACCTTGCCACTAATGTTAGCTGTGGCTGGCAATCAAACCCCGGTCACCGGATTCGTAGTGCAGTGCCCTAACCACTGCAGCACCGCTCACACGTAGAGACTAAAGTATACAGAGATTAAAAGGGGTAGAGTCGGAGATCAGAGCTGATGCCCTGGGTTCGAATCCAGGCAGCCGATCGTGATCAATGGCGGAGCCAATATTTTCAGGTAGGAGGGGGGCAACCCCTCCAGCAATTAAAAATGATAGGAGTTGTTTGTAAGGACGTGTCCCTTGCTTTTTATTCGACGCGTGTGCGGCGATGTCGCAGCCATCGATCGAGGGTCGAATTCGAACCACGTTGTGTGATCGGCATCGCGCTCGCTGAAGGTGTTGATGCCTTCAGGGAAGTCGTGTACTGTGTACGCAACTACGCACAATTCTGTGAGTCGCTTATAACTACTTTGCCGTTACTTATTGCCAATTATGGACTCAGACTATTGTCCTATCATCTCATAGAGTCCCTGGCACGTAATAATATGCTACACAGTGGCAGTGGGGGTCGCAAAATGCCGATTTATTACTAATAAACCCCAATGATCCGATCGAAATTAGGGATTTCGATCGGATCATTGGGGGGCCACGTGCCACCCCACCCCCTCCCCCACTGGCTCCGCCAGTGATCGTGATTAAACCCTAGCGTTTCAAGTATAGTTGGTGGTCTCAGCCCAACCACTGCGTGCACAAAAAGCGTCCATCGCATTCAATTTGGTTCTGCTATTAATTTTGTTTAATTCCAACTCTGATCAAGGCCGTAGCCATGGAGTTAATATTTGGGGGGGGCAAATCTTCCAGGGGGTCTGGGGGTATCCCCCCCCCCCCCCGGAAAAAAATTAAAATTTGAAAATGAATTTCCTGCCTAAAATATTAAAAAATTCACTAACACATAGGAAGGACTTTTTATTTACCGTATTTCTTACAATAATGTCTAATAGTGTATTGTATTACCTTTTCTTGTTTCATTGTATGTAGTGGCAGAGATTAGGGATTCATAAAGTACAACCATAACCACAATCATATAAACAGAAATCTCTTTTATAGCAATATATTGGGGGGGGGGGGGGGGGGGATGTGTGTGTCCCCCCCCCCCCCCCCCAATATATATATATATCATGTAATGAGACGAGCATTACTCTCAGTGGCAGAGCGAGTAGGAAAGAGCTGCTCCCAACTGGATCTCAGAGGCAGCTCTGTGATAGCCACATCTCTGGGCCGTTCTCGAATGCAAACTGATCGCACCGCTTTGCGAGAATTCCCAATGGGATTCGCGTCTCACGAAGCGACACCGACAGCACGTTCGGGGTAAAATGTGGGTAGGAAAATCCCAAATAAGAGAGATACGGACAGGGGGGGGTGGGGGAGGGGGAAATAGAGATTTGAGGGCACAGGGCAAGGGGGTGATGGGTGGGGGAGAAGAGTTCAGAGAGTGAGGTGGGGGTTGGTGGGGACAAGGGCACAGGGAGAGGCAAGGACACAGATAACGGATCGCTTGCATGGAGGTCACTGATTAATCATTAAATGTAATAATTCAGTTATTATTACCTCCATGCCAAATTTGTTTTAATGATCAAACATTATTTAAACTAATTGAAATACAACCTTACTTTAAATACCAGTAGAGTGTATAAATATATAACTATACAATTGTATCTGACCAAAGTATGTTTCGGGTGTTTAGAACGCCTTTGTGTAATGTGGCCATTTTTTTTTAGATGATCAAAAATAATTATTCTTGTCTGCAATGGTAACATTTACAATTTAGTGATTTTATTTCAGATTAACTATTTTGTGCTGGAACTATAAGTAGTAAGACGAGTTAACTATTACTATTTAAAATTTTATTTTTATTTTGCCAGGTAAGGCCCACTGAGCTAGATAGCTCTTCTTCAGAAGCGACCTGGTCACAAACGATAGGCCAATAAAATTATTTATCGTGTAGACATTTATAGCAGACAAATACTCGAAACGCATATTTATTCAAATGAAGGGAAAACCCGGAGCAATCCGGGGAAAAATCCACGCAACCACGGGGAGAGACACACGCAAACTCAAAATGTGCAGGCGTGCTCTTCGCGACCCACCGCTCTCTGTCCTTTGGAGGTTTCTAGTTTAAATACATGGTGTAGTATTACAGGTATCTGTCAAACCACCGGTGGATGAAGGCCTTCGCCATGTCCGTGTTAATCATAGAGGTCGGTTGACCATACTAAACCAATTCTGTTCAGTGCGCTTTGGTAAACTGTGGTAGCGCAGGACCGGTTCAGATATCGCTCGCCACAGATGTTGGCCGTGGTCGGGATTCTAAAATGTGGTCACCGCAAGCCGCTGCGGGCACCGCTCCACTCCCTTGGTCACCAATGCAAAGAGTCACCAAAACGACGGAGTTGGTGCCGTGAAATCGAGGTGAGAACCTCGGTGTTCGTCCGGATTACGTTCAGAGCTCTGTGCGACACGTGCAGCGTGGGACAACTCAATTTGTATCTGAACGGAGGTAAATCCGTCACCTGGGAAAGATGCATCGGGGTATAGCTTGCGGGGAAACAGTTTGGACAATCATGCTCTAGAGCAGGGGTGGGGAACGCCCGGCCCGCGGGCCGTATAAGGCCCGCGAAATCATTTAGTGTGGCCCTGCCAAGGCAACCGCAGGTGGGACTCGAAATTCAACAAATCTCGGAGCAAACCTGGAAAAGCAGTTGCGAGTAGCAACATCATCAATACCAGCTAACATCATCAATACCAGCTAACATCATCAATACCAGCTAACATCATCAATACCAGCTAACATCATCAATACCAGCTAACATTATCACACGCCTCACCAAAGAGAAGCAGTTCCAGCCATCACATTAGGGGTGAGTTCATTAAATGTTTGAGTAAATATAACAGGCAAATTTTTAAGTTGATCATTTTGTATGGCCTTCGAATGATCCTAAAAATATCCAAATGGCCCTTGGCAGAAAAAAGGTTCCCCACCCCTGCTCTAGAGGGTGAGGCGATAAGTTAGAGTCCTGGATGACGGTGGATGTGGTAAGAGACATCCATATATAGATGAAGTTATGAGTTAGCGTGCTGAACGAGATGATGTATTTTGTGATGTCAGTGACATCCATCTAACATAAGGAAATTCCTTACAGCCCCGGACAGGGTGAAGGGTAAAGCTTGGAATGAAACCGTCCTTACGAATATTGTGTCCGCGTGTCAGTGTTCCGGCGACAAACTGCTTTACCCGTGTGCACACGTGTGCGCGTGTACGCTCACCTGTGTGCACGTATATGTGCCCCGTGCGCACGTGCGCGCGTGTGTACGCGCGTGTGAACTCACCTGCGCGTGAACCTGCAGGGAGCACGTAAGCGCGGACAAGAAGGCGAGGAAGACGGGCGTCCCGATCCTGCCCATGTTTGTATCACTCTTGCCTCGTCTGCCTGTGTCGATGTATAACAGACAAATTCAGTACCCCCGTGTGCACTATACACATGTACACAGCCACGAACCACAGTTTGATTAACTGTGTTAGTCAGCGATGTTCCTCCTCACTCGACTCTGAACTCGAAGTCAGGTGGTGTTGGTGGTGATGTGGCTGAGTCTGGCTTCGAGACCCCTGATGTGCCCAGATTTAAAGGGCTGTGTTTGGGCGGGGGGGGGCGGTGACAACTCCGGCCGAGGCTGTGGGGCAAAGCGTGGGCACTTGCGTGACGTCACTGATAAAGCTGGGCCAGGTGCATCGCGTGACGTACATCGCGTGTGTGTTTGTGTGAATTGTGAACGGACTCGAGAAGATGCATCATCGTGGTCATCACCACAACCATTCGAAATGTGTGTTCAACAAAGTTTCACCGACTCGTCAACATCATTTTATGGGAACGCCGATATTGAAACCGTCCGAGCAGTCGTAACTGCCGGATGAGGGCCTCCTCCCCACGCCGTGCGAGTCGTGGGCATTGTATTTGACCATACTTCCCCATGCTTAATCTGGGGGGGGGGTTATGAATGTCTGCGGCCATCGATGTAGAAGCACACCGTTCAGTGTAACGGCGTGCTTTGCCAAACCGTCTGTCTGCCCGATGCTGACAACACAATCCCACGGTCATCGCCTCCTTCGTTTTGCCAGATCGCGCGGCTGGTTGCACGGTTTATAACACCGACCTCTTGAGGACCGCTCTTTGAGTCTTACCACCACCATCACCACCTGTCTCTAGGTTGTACGCAGTATATATAGCTCCTTCTTCCACCGTAGGGTCTCATCACCATCTCCATCTGGTCGTTTGGTCTTCTTGTTGTTACACAGTCAGCACGTCCGTCGAGGAACACTCTCACGGTATCATGGGCACCACCTCCATCTGGATTTAGATTGGAAACTCATTTCCTTAAAACTGCTTTTTTGTGTTTAGTTTGTTGTCCTTCCCCCGCACCTCCGATTAGCACGGTTGGCTATGTACGGTGCGAAAGAAGTTCCCCTCGGTCACTCTTCTCAAGGAGCCAATCCAGTACTTGTGGTCTGTTGCATATGAAGCTGTTTCAGTGAGTTCTCTTGTTTTGCTGTAATTCATAGCACAAGTGGCAATTCTTAGTGTGTTTTTATGTACCCAATGCATTTTGCGCGCACGCACACCCTGACAGTGATATCCCCAGCGCTTACCCGCCACGTCCCGTTCAGAACTTCCAAGTTGGTTGACCTATCCTGCTTGGGCAGGGCAGGTTGCTAAATAGCCGATGTGGTCGAGACTAAGAACCGGAGGGGCAGCCAAATGAGTGATCTCAACCGACAGGTGGAGAAATTAAATCAGTTCCTGTGCCGGAGGGACATGGATCATGTCAGGACCATGGAGGATGGCGACTTTTCTGGGGAGGCTGTCGTCCAGCAGCGGAGAGATCGTACTCCGGACACATCTAAACCGGTTATTATTGAACATGTGACCTTTACCAATAGGCCATGCATACGGGGAGCGTTAGCGAGGAATCGAACTCAGGTCACCCAAATTCTATTCGGGGCCACAGCTGTATCACAGTCGGGAGTCATATCTGAACCTGCCGCGGGCTTCCCCGAGATCGACTTGGCCTTAAATGAGTGCCTGGTGCGGTGTCTAAACATCGGCACTGAGAAGACAAAGGCGACCGCGCGTGGTGTCGGTCCTTCACCCGCTCGTGCGCCACCCGGACCTTCAATCTGTTAAAGGCGAACCGGAGGGGATATTTGTTTTTTTCCGTTCGTGTGACTTTTGTGTGCTGCACGTGTGCAGCATGCGTGTACAGGTATATGCACGTACATGGGGAGCGGTTACCACTCACAGGCAACATCAGTGACGAATATCTGAACCGATCCTGGGCCTCCCCTAGCTCTACTCAGCCTTAACGAGAGTACCTGGTGCGGTGTGTCAAACATCGGCACTGGGGTAGCGTTATCCACCCACCCACCGCCTCGTCGTGCCGTGCCGACCTTAATAGGTGCTCGCCTTAATAGGTGCTCGCTAATAGCACAGCGGCACTTGGCGTAAGAGTATGTTATTCGGTGGGATCTTTGTATGCGACCGCGTGCGCGAGACTGTGTGTGTCGATGTGCTGTGCTCACTGTTGCGCCAGTTGCTCTCAGATAAAAGTGATGACCCTGATATCCTCCTACATCAAACGGCCGTTCAGATCAAATAGGCGTGCGCACACACAACACACACACACACACGTGCGCACACACACACATTGGGGGGCGCACACACACACGTGCCCACACATACCAAGCCACTCAACTTCACTGGCCTGTTGTGTTCGCGAGCATCAAAGAAGGCCGACACAGCGGAACACGAGAGGGGGGTGGGGGGGCTGGGTGTGGTCGGAACAACGCCCCAGATAGTCTTGGTCTCCCCCCCCCCCCCCCCCCGTTATTTGATGCGACAACTTTGTTCCAGGGACTCGTGTCGGGTTGAGTTGATCTGTGTACCCAGGACTAAATATTCCCAGAACCGATTGAGATAACCGTCACGGATGTGTGCCGTGGGTAGGAATCTAAGATTCGTAGCGCCATCTCTGCACCCCAAAAGACGAAGAACTCCCATGTAGAGCCGTAACAGGTTTTGATTTAAAGCTTTCGTGACTGCAGGGATTCATATTCTTGGTTCTTTCGGTAAAGTCACGTAGAAGGGAAACAACAAAAATAAAAAATATATTGTTTTATATTTTTATTATTTTGTTGTTTCCCTTCTACGTGACTTTACCGAAAGAACCAAGAATATGAATCCGTAACAGGTTGTTGGGGCAAGTGCTCTTAGCGAGCACCAATGAAGGCCGGAACGGTACACGAGGAGGTGGATGACCAACACCACGCCCGAACGCCTTTGTCTCCCCAGTGGCGATGTGTTTCACACACAAAACCAGGTACTCATTTGAGACTGAGTCGACCTCGATTTATAAAGTGTATTCACACACCATACAAACATTAAAAGATCCCAAACACCCATACATGAGTGCGCATGGCAATTGAGCACTGATAGGCAACACGGAGTGGAGTGGCGGCACTGTGGTTACGTGCTCTGCTATAACATTTGGCAATCTAAGAAATATTCTCGGCCCCAGCTAACATCAGTGGAGATTACCTTGTCTGAATCGGTCCTTCGCTTCCCCATTCAACTCACGCTGACCAGCGTGGTGAAGTATGGCTAAACAACCTCCCATAGCCGACATGGCCTGGTGAGGACATCATCCAACAGTGAATAATAAAACATTACGTTTATAAAACGTCTGCCTACGAGGTGCTCAAGGCGCTTTACATTATGGAAATAAATATATATCAATGCTCCCTTGGCCAACAGGAGGAAAAACTAAGAAGACAAATGGAAGCAGTGGATAGACAATGGGTTATTGTCATATTATAGACGTAATACAACTGATTACTAATGACCCCACCCCCCGCCCCAACACAAATGGCACTCCATATCCGGAGACTAACAGACTCCAAAATTCGTAACTTAACACTTATTTATTGCCACCATCGTCACTGCCACCATCATCACCAACGCCACCGAATGCACGTGTAGTGTAATAGCGCCGGCTGGTGACCAGCAGCGGCAACTGCGGTGTACAAACAGTACACGCGCCGGTGAGCATATACACGGTGTGTGTGTCGGCAAGGCGGAGGAACTGGGGCAAGGGTCATGGAGAGCCTCATCTGGAAGCCCCTGGAACCTGCTCGTGGGTTCGAGAAGGGAGGCGCGGCCAGGGCGGAGCCAGGGCCACGCTGGGAGCATAAAAGGGGCCGAGAGCGGGAGCTCGTGGCTGCCGGTTTGGGATTGGATCGTCTCATCATTTATGTCGTCTCGTCGCCATTGCTGCTGCCATCTCCGCTCGACATTGCGCTGCTAGATAGCCTATCAGCTGTCTCCGTCAGCGCCGTCGATGCTAGACGGCTAGTGTTATGTCATAGGCTAGCGACTACAGAGTGTGTGCAGGCGAGATCGTGTGTTAATTAAAGTTTCCTCTACAAAACCTCGTCTCCGAAGTCACTGCACTACACATGTAATACACATACCAGGTTGGTTCTATTTGGTAAACTGGCCCCCTCCATAAGAATTTGAAATTTTCACAACTGACTCGGAGCTCTGAAAGTGTCTACCGATGCTGTGTCCAGTGGCTGTTTGATAATAGTTTGTAGCTTTGATAACGAAAGAAACAAAATATATACACCATAAGATTATGGCCGAAGTGGTCGGGTGGCTCTGAGAGGTCGGAAAGTTGAGCTGGAAGCACTCACTGATCGAGAACCCGGGTTCGAATCCAGGCAGCCGCCTGTGATTGAACCGGCTTCTCAGGTATGAGTTGATGGTTTCAGCCCGTTCATCAATGGCTCCACAAAAAAATCACATTTTAATTTGGATATTCACTTATAATTTAGATATATTCCGGCTCTGAGATGTAAATAGATACGCTTTACTGTCATGCGATGATCATTACTCTCAGTGGCAGAGAGGGTGGGTAAATGCAGCCTCCCTGCTGCTGTGTTGACTATTTGAAAGACTCAGAGGTAGATCGCCACGGTGGCGAGATGTTAACCCCCTCTCCTGGTGTACAGGAGGTCGTGGGTTCGATCCAGACCCAGACGCCTGCTGTATATTTGGAGTTTGCATGTTCTTCCTGTCAACATGCGTTGAGAGTATTTATTTGCTATACATTTCAACATGATAAGTCACTTCGTTGGGCTATTATTTGTGGCTAGATCGCTTCTAAAAATGAGCTACATAGCTAAGTGGGCCTTACCTGGTAAAATATAAAAAAATATACAGGGTGCTTCAAAAAAACGTTCACACTTCCGAGAATTTGCAAGAACACCACGTGACATGTGCTGCTGCCTCCGGGCTCTGGAGGACACCTGAAGAAGATTCCAGGCCACGTGTTGACAACGATGGCGACCACGTGGGAGACTCTTTGACTTTTTGAAGCTATTAACATTACACTTGTTATCATGTTACAGTGTATTATCCGTTATTTTGTATTAAGTACGATAGTCTCCTGTAAGTGTTAACATTTTTAAAGCACCCTGTAGTTTAAATAGTTTTAAATTAGATCCATGGTCTCCGCGTTCACGGGCTGCTCGATCTCTAACACGAAGTGGCATGTACGACTGATCAACGGGAGATCCAAATG